CTCAAAGCCCAACAAACACAGCACACACCTTCTGAGGTAACCTCCCGCCCCTTGACCAGCTTCCTCCCCTCTACCTGAAATGCCGCACACACTGTGCCAGTCCAGGGCTGTTGGCGGCCTCCTCACTGCTCTCCTGGAGGTAGGTCTTGCTCCTTCCTGTTCCGGCCACCTCAGCAGTCCTGGCGATGGCCTGAAGCAGCCCCATTTCCAACAGTAGCACCTGTTTGGAAATATCAAGCACCGCACTGCCTTTAGAACCAAGTTCAAACTTCTCAGCTTGGAGTTCAGCGTCTCCGGCAGTTGCTCTTCACATCTTTCCATTTTCCTTGCTCTCATGTCTTAGACAATAAACTAATAAGCTAATGACAATAAGCTAATGAGCAAATCTGCCTCATCTAGGCCTCATGATGTTACTCCAAGGATGGACGCTGTTCTCTGCTGTTCTTCAGATGAAGGAACTGAGGCTTATCCAAGCTAAGTTAACTTGTTCAAAGTACCCTGGTTATTCTTCTCATCACCAGGACAAACTAGCCAACACCTGCAACTTAAAGGAGGAAAGGTTCATTTTGGTTCACTGTTTGTAGAGGTTTTGACCCACAGTCAGCTGGCTCCAGCGCAGGGCAGTGTGGCAGAGGGGCATGGCAGAGGAGAAACAGCTCATTACATGGCACCAGGAAATGGAGTCAAGGGGGAAGGGAGGGATCAACCCTTCCAGGCCATGCCCACAGCAATCCACCTCTTTCTACCAGCTGCCACCCCCTAACAGCAAGCTATAAACTCATCAGTGGACTAACCCACTGACTGTCATGCCCTCAGGACCCAGTCACCTCCCAAAAGTCCCCCTCTGAGCACATGAGGCTTTGGGGGAGCATCCGGACATAACCCGTAACAGTGCCGCTGTGTGCTTGCTTTCCTAGGGCTGCTTAAGTTAACATCAACTTGGTGGCTTAAAACAACAAAACCCGACTCCCTTGGGGTTCTAGAGGCTTGAAACTGAAGCTCAGGGAGTCTGCAAAACATGCTCCCTGTGAAGTCTTCTTGAGGGGAGACTGCTTCCTCGATGCTCCTGCTCTGTGGTCAGAGACATTCCTCAGCCCGTAACTCCACCCCTCCAGTCTCCACATGGTCTCTTCCCTATGTGTCTCCTCTGTGCCCAAAGCTCTCCCATTCTCTTTAGAGGTGCCACACATTTAGGGGCACCCTACATCCAGGATGGTTTTATCTTCAGAACTTTAATAATTACATCTGCAAATACCCTGCTCTAGGCAACATCCCATTGCTGGGCAAAATACCCAGTGCTATGACTTAAAGAGAGAGGTCTATTTGGTTCATGTTTTCAGTCAGTGTTCATCAGGCTCCATGGCAAAGACCTCATGGTGGAAGGGCATGGCGGAGCCAATCTGCTCACTTCATGGTGGCAAGAAAGCAGAGCACAAGGGAAGAGTGCCCAAGAGACACGCCCTGCAAAGGTTCCACCTGGCCCCACTCCCTTAGCACATTCATCTGGCAACATCAGTGGATTAATCCACTAACAAGTATAGGGCCCTGATGGAGACCACTATGAAGCAGCCCTGAGCAGGACTTAAATTAACAAATAGGCTTTTCATGTTTACTTGTGAATCTGTCCAAGGCCTAGGCTCCTCGTAGTAAGTGAACCTCTGTGAGTCACTGATCCCTCCTGAGGCCTGTAATGGCAGATGAATCCAAAAGCCTCCAAGGATAAAAGAAGATCACAGCCAAGGACACCTGGATCCAATCTCAACTAGATAAAGACTGTAGCCTCAGGCATCTCACTCCTGGGTGGTTTAACTTAATACCTTACTTGGAGAAGTCCTTGAGGGGTTCCACCCTTCTGGAGTACTCCCCTCCCTTCTGATAACTACATAAAATTGGCCACCCACAGAAAGACTTGGTCTTAGCCCTTCAAGAATCTCGAGTTCTTTGAGAAGGTTTTGATCCTCCTGGAGCCCTGAAATCATTCCATTTGCCTCCTTTCTTTAGGCTTCCCCGTGTACTCATTTGGGAGATTGCAGACCTGATCAGTCCACAATAACTAAGGGATGTGGTTAACCCAGGAGGGCCCCGTGACACAGCCACCTTTCAGAGGTTTCCTAATATAGTCAGGTTGACAAGCTCAACCATCACAGGCCCTGTTCCCCCAATTAGGTCATATTTTGAGGTACAAGTGAACATGAATGTGGGGAGAACAAGGTTCAACCCACAATACTTGGGAATTAGGGTTTTCTGCCTCCAAGCATCATTTACTTCACTTGATGCCCCCTGAAAGCTCCTGAACAAATCAAACGTCTCTCACTTATCTAAATGAGACAAATGTCTTTCCTCGTGCTATTTTCTTTATGTAGATCAATCTTGCCCTTTTTCTTCCCTTCCACCAGCTCTACTTAGGGAAATCTTGAGCTGTCTTCAAAATGAAGTCCAATGCCCCTTCCTCCAAGAAGACACCCGGGACTGCACCAGCCAAAAGGACATCTTTCTCCACCCACACTCCCACAGCCTGACTTCTGGTCTCTCATGGCTGTTACTGTCTTCAATATCACACTCCAGGCTTTGTGCAGTTGTCTTCACTCACATCACTTCCCGGCTTTATGAGTTAAAAGCTTCTTAAAGTCAGGGCTGCCTTCTCCCACTGTGTGTTCTCCTGAGCAGCAGCACCTTAACCTGCCTCTTGCCCTACATTAGTTCATACATCAGTAAGCAAAAATGTAGAATGCATAAAAGCCAACATTTCTCCAATAAAACCACTTCCCCAAAATGGAGTATTTTATTTTATTTATTTTTGGGTTTTTGAGGCAAGGTCTCATGATATGTCACTATGTTCAAGGCTGGCCTTGGACTCACCATGTAGCCCAGGCTGACCTTAAACTCAAGGGGATCCTCCTGCCTCAGCCTCTCAAATGCTGGGATTACAGGTGTGTGCCACCACACCCAGGCCCAAAAATGAATTGTTTTTAAAGCCCAATTTACTTTCCCACACCTAATCATTTTAATTTTTCCCTTTATTTGAATTTGATCTAATGAAGGCTAATCCATCTCTTCCAAATATAATACTTCTACAATTTAAAAAAAAACAGTTCTTCCCAATGCCACTTTCTTTGGCTTTGGAGGACAGATCAACTGCTCTCAAGGTGTCTGAGGACAGGGATGATGTCTTGGTCACCGTTAGATTCTGAGCACCCATCAGTACCGTCTGCGAAGCATGAGAGAATGGAGGTTCAGATGCCGCATTAGAGCAGGCACGGCTACTGTCCTCCCTGAAGGTGGCCTGCGTATGGGCGGGTCTCATGTCACCCTCATCCCAGCCCAGGAGACAGGCCTTCCTGCTGTCCACACCATGCAGAGGGAAGCTGAGGCTGTGACAGGACACAGACCTTCACTCTTGGTCATGCTCCCAGGGAAGGCTGAAAGCCAGGTCTGACCTCAGGGCTGCAAGAGGCCTCTCCAGTGCAAAGCAGCCTGCATGGACCCACAAGGGTCAAGCCAGGAGCCTCAGTGTGATGACGGGAACAGGCCCTCAGCCCAGCAGGCTTGGGATCTGTGGGCCATCAGCTGCGGGCTCTAAAAGACCAACGGGGAAAGCTGGGTCTGAGAACAGACAATAGTGCAAATAACGTGCCTGTGTAGGGTATGTGTGTGTGGCGTGTGTGTGACACGTGGGAAAGAAAGGACTATGTTGATAAGAACACTTTGGAAACTAGAATACGCAACGACCAGGAGTTACACGGTGACCCCAGTCTTGGCCCAGCTCTTGACATCTGAACATCACAAAGCCGCTATGGCGCTGTGAAATGGGATTCTGTTGCCCTCCTAAAGGACCTGGGAGGAGCCATGCAGCTCAGGAAGAGACTGTTCTGAAAGTCTCCCAAAGTCTCCACTGCACTGAAGAGTACAGCGGTGAAAAGGAAAAGCAGCAGTCATTCACGAGGAGTTTCTGTTTGAATTGGGGTTAGCAGACACAGAAAACTAACTCTAACTTATGCAGAAGGAAAGACGCACAAAAATGAATAATGAAAACTAGCCCTTCACGAGTTCCGTCCTGCACAGCAGACTAAAGGATGTTCATCTGACAACCACCTTATATGATTTTGCAGATGAGGAAACCGAGGGCTAGAAACATTGAATCTTTCCCGCAGAGACACATCAATGTTAAATGGCACAGCCCAGTTTTACCCCAGGCCCACCTAACCAGAATCTTTACCCTTATTACCTCCCTGTACTATTTCCTTGAGTGCCTCAAGATGCAAAGTACATAGAGATGGAACTTTTGCCATCAACTTGGAAAATAAGTGGCCAAAAAATAGATTACTTTTAAAACTGTGTCACTTTAGACAATGTGCAAAGTCCCATGGTTGTTACTGGTGTGTCTGACCACAAACTCTGAGAGGCAGGGATGCAGAAGTGAAAGAGGTACACACAGGGCCAAGAAGATGGGAAAGGTGAACACCAGGGAGTCCCATTCCACACACAGCCCTTGGAGAGATGCCACGTGATCAATGTCAGGCCACGTCAAGTGTCAAGAGAGGAGAATGGGGAAAGCTTTGCCTGGTTCGATCTCAGACAGAAAAACACTACTTTCCTTTTTTTTTTTTTTTTTCCTCTCCCTAATCTTTTTTAACTCCCCCTAAAGCTTTAACCAAGCTTAAGACCATGAGCTTTCAGGGAACAAAGTGAGGCCCATCTGTTCATGCAGGAATCTGCCAGACCAAAGTAAAAGGTCAATTTGGCTCTGACGATAGCATAGCATTTAGATGACCCTAAATACTTCCCAACGGAATAAGCCAAAAATAACTTTGCATTACTGCGAATCATGACTCCAAAGCAAAAAAAAAAAATGTCAGGAATCCTCTTCAAAACAGAGCATGACTGCACTGCTACTAATGAAAAAATGAAATAACGTAATTGTTCTGTCTCTTTAGAATATGCCTGTTCTAAAGACCATACAAAAATAACCATAACTATCTTATTTGAGGAGGAAGACAGAATGCCTTTGTTTTCAAAGGTTTTATTTCTTTTATTGTAAGACATATAGAAAAAAACTTGGGTATTTTGAAAAAGATAGAAAATGGTAATAAAATGGACATTTTCCTTATTAAGAAATATGTTCATAAATATATTTTATCAAATGTTAAAATGGTTATTTTTTGCAAATAATAATAAATAGAGCAAAGCTGTGACATACAAGGGTCAACTCAAAGTACTGGAATTTTTTATGTTACATGTTTTATAAAAATTCAGACCTTAAAAACTTGGCATTTGCACATCAGGTTATGAATAATTCAGACTTTTAAAATATTTTCGCAATGGCTCCATGATCTCAAAAATAACAAAACATAAAAGATGGTTTGACTAAGTAGAATTTTGATGAGAATAACATTCCCCAAATAAAAAAGTATTAGACACATAAGTAAAGATACAGTTTTTGAACCTGTAAGTGGTACACATACTGGTTGCCAATCCTACAAACCCCTGTGGGGACTGAACAAAAAATTATTAGCTAAGCTTTAGTTTCCAGCACGGTCCATCATTTCTTTTCACAGTTTGATGGAGCAGTAATAGTTGTGACCATGATGAGCCAAGTTCTCAAGTCCCAGCTCCAGGAAACAACATACACAGGAAGCTCTCCTCCGTGGGGTACACCCTGGGGCAGCTTTCCTGCATCTCTTCAGGACCCAGGGGCCTCTGATGCACACAGAAGACCAGCGGGCAAAATTTCAATGATGAAATTCCTCTTCCAGGCATTCTTCCCTAAGCTCCAACTCTTTACTATCCAAAGGAGAGAGAAAACTCTTGTGAACACCCAACAGGTCCGGTACTGAGCCTTGGGTGTCCAAGTAGCAAGGTCAGGCTTTCTCCTATAAATAAATACCGACTCTGCAAACACCTTTCATTTCCCGTGCATTTGGCTGCCCCTGAGGCTGACATGTTAGTTCCTGGCGGCAATGGGGGAAGCCATATCTAACAATACTTAGGTATCCAATCTAATATAGATTACTGGTCCCGGTGGCCTTCGACAATGCCCATCAGAGGACATCTGGGTGAAGCCAGGTGCCTAGAGCACAGACAGGTCGTGGCAGGATTTGGACTTGAGCTTGAAGGCCATGTTCTTATTGTTTTTGGCCACGATCTTGCCCCAGAAGCGCCTGGCTTTCCTGGGGATGCTCTCCCTCCGTTTCTGGTAGGCCAGCCGCCGCTCATTCTTCTCCTTGCTGTCCCGACGCAGGCGGACCTGCCGCACAATGCCCTCAAACAGCTCCTTTACATTGTGCTGCACGGCCGCCGAGGTCTCGATGAACTTGCAGTCGAACACCACTGCACAGGCTCGCCCTTCTGGTGAAGGAAAGGACAGAAGAGAGTCAGAGGGATGCAGAGTGTGATGGCATGGCACATGCAGCCATTCTGGATGACTGCTGTTTAAAACTGCACTGGGGCAACTCTAACCCAGTCAGATATGCCACCCACGGAGGAGCCCACTGGGACGCACACCTGCTCAGGGCATGAGTCTTGCAGGCGGACCCTGGAAGCAAGAGAGATGGACTTTAGATCTGGCCCTCCACCAATTCCCCATGTGAGGGTGCAGTGTCTTCAAACACAGTGGTATCAATTACCGCAGCAAAGCTGTACCCTTAAGTTCACTGATTACAAACTTACTGTGGGCCAAGAACTAGGCCAAGTTCTTTATTTTCAATGTTTGTAATAATCTTGAAAAATAAATTATGATCCCCCATTCAAACAGATGAGGAAAATGGGGGGATGGATCTTTTAAAAACTTGAGGGAGTCCACAAGCCTGTTGGTGATGGTGGATCCATGCCTGTTTAATTCTCAAGCCAGACTTTCTCCTGACTCAGTTTCCTTATAAGAAATTAGAATTCTACCACTTGGCTTTCCTCTCTCTCTTTAAAGAAAAAAAAAAAGCTGTGGTAAGATTTCTGGGGAAAAAAACAGGATTTTACAAATACAGTTATATCAAATTATTCAAGTTTTTCTGGGAAAATCTGAATTTCAAATATTTCTTTGTGTTCAAGAAGTGACTGCTCTAGACAGTCCTGTCCCAGCAGTAAGACATGACCAACTAGTTGAGCACACTATCTTGATTGGGTTTCTTTTCTCCTGAGCAGGGCCTGGCAGTGCTACATTTTACTTTTCCAGTTGTACAAGGGATAATATCTGTATTAGGGGCTGGGGATTTAGCTCAGCAGCACAGCACCTGCCTGGCAAGCACAAGGTAGTGAGTTCAATTCCCAGTACCGGAAAAAAAACAAAACAAAACAAAAAAAAAATCTGTATTAGGCCAATAAAATCCTAAGGGCTCTAAAATTGCTCAGGGGCCCATTCAGCAAATAGGAACTAACCTTGAGCTAGTATGACAAAAATATATGTGATACCATGTGACTGATGCCATAACTGAAATTTAGGAAAGGATGGGGGAGGGGCAGGTAGGAGGGTACAGTATTTCCAGGGTTTAGAGGGACCGATGCTAGCTGGAGTCGAAAAACCCTCCAGTAATTCTCCTAAATTATAGCTCCCCATCGTTCTTACAAAGTTGATCTGCTCCCTTCCTAAACTCTTGAGGTCTTCTTGGAGAATGACAGGATAAAGAAAAGCCCAGGGTCAGCCAGTAACTCCCTGAGTGTGATCTCTTCCCTAAAAGAATTCCAGGAAAGAATTCTGGGAAAGCTCCCAGGAAACCCTTGGGAGCGAGGAGAGTGGAGTCCCACAGAGACCAGATGGGTAAGGCAGGATGACCAGGACTGCAGCACTGTTGGAAGGTCCACGTACAGCTCCATGTGGCGCTTTCACGAGGCTCAGGAAAGAAGGAAGAGCTCTTGTGTGAAGGTAAGGGGCTGTGACCCGGGGGCTTTCCTGGTTTCTGTGGCGTAGCACCGGCCGTCTTACCTGATACAGACACTTCCCGGCACCGCACCAGGTCGCTTTTGTTGCCAACCAAAATTATAGGAATGTCCTCTGTCTGCCGAGCCCTGCGGAGCTGGATCCGCAGCTCCGACGCCTTCTCAAAGCTTGCCCGGTCCGTGATGGAGTAGACGATCAGGTAGGCATCCCCGACCTGCATGCAGTGCTCTTGGAGCCATTCATTCTCCCCCTGAAGAGACATAAATATCTTCCGTGAGCTCAGGTCGGCCTGGGAAATGAGGCGGACAGAAAGGAAGAAAGCGGCCTGCAACTCCCCAGAATGCATGGTCTTCATGCCTACAGGATGGATGGCTGAGGGCTATAAACACTGCTGGCCTGCATCGTATTTATGCCCAAATTTGTTTCTTTCCCATTTCCTCTATGGCTTGAATTGAAAAATTACATGGCTACTCTGCCAAACAGCACTTCTATCTAAGCTACCCCAAAAGGGCCTCCTCTGACTTTCTAAAACTTCCTTTTGCCTTTCCCAAGGGATACAATTAAGAATCCCTTTGCGAGAATATGGGAGTTCTTAATAAGCAGAAGGTCTAGCATATATGCTCAGACATCTGAGAGCAAATGTTGAAGACCAGTGCTGAGAATGTCAGCTTTATACCTGGTGGGTTTATGTGGCTGCAAACACCATTCATGCTTGTTTGAACATTCCCTAAAACAAATACACTTTTTGTGTTTTTTTAGTAGAACAAAGGGCAAAGCGCTGCAGCTTGCTTGCTATCCAGAGCTCATCTGTGAGTGACCCGCTCCTTAGAACTGTCTTGTTTTTCAGAAGTAAATGCTTTTAACCAAGGAAACAAGCCCACCTCATCTGCAACAGTCACTGCAGAACAAGGTCCCCCTCACACCAGCCTGTTGAAAGGCAAGTCCTAAAAGACTTCACCAAGAGCCCCAGGCTCTGCGTACCTTATTTTCCCACATGTCCAGGAGGATGATTGTCGCACTTTCCCCATCAACAATCAGGGTGCGCTCGTACGTATCTTCTGGAAAAGAAAGAACATTGATGTTGGAGTCAGTGAATAGGCAACACTTTGACATAAGAAGGTCACAGAGAAATTTTTATGCTAGAAAATAAACTTGCTAAATATGCAACTGATTATGAAAGATAAATTACTAATCTCGTCACCTTCAACAGTATATGATGTATATTCCTCCAGTACTTACTAAGATCTCTCAAACCGCTTGAATGAAAAGGCATTCATTTCCACCATTCTTGGACCTTTTGTACAGGGAAACCATTTACGAGGATAAACTCACTTAAGAGCTTTTGACTGATTCAACAGATGGAGCTCTGAGCAAGCGCTAACCGTGAGCTCCACTTTCACACCCTTCGCGTGGAAATCCATTGTACCCTTCAGTGGGTGGTTCCTGAACACTCACTGGCAATTTCAGGAGCCCGGAGCACAGGGAGACCTCTCCTCCTTGGGGCAGCACAAGAACAACATCTTGTGGCTAGCCCTGTTCGGCCTGTACTTCTCTTCCTTTAGAATGAACACTAACCCGGCTCCCTAGGACGACACGGGCTTGTTTTTCCACCTGAGCGGCACAGACGTGCACCCCCATGCACTCCGTGGCAATGGAAACGTCCCTCCCTGCCTGCGAGCTCATACTGAGGGGAGGGGAAGGGTGAGCACAGTGCAATGGGCCAAAGCAGCTGCAGCTTGGAAAGCTCTGTGCGGGGGATGGCAGTGTGAGGTGTCCTGGGATGTCTACCACCAGGATTCCCATCAACCGTGTACGACTGAGCCCTCTCCTACGGTTTTCACGGTGAAGTTTCCTGTTTTGAATTTTACTGTTTAAAAGTAATGACTTTCTTAGTGACATCATTTTTCTTGTTGGTCCTTTTGCCTAGAATCTCTTCCCTCAGACATCCGCAAAGATTATTCCCTTTCTGCTTCCTGGGGAAGGTGTCCCCCGGGCCATCAATTCAAAACTGCAACACCTCACTCTCACCAAAATCCCTTACCCCTCGTCCTGCTTTGTTTCTCTGTACTCACTGTCACCTAATATGCAATACATGAAACTTAGTTATTTTATTTGCTTCTCCTGCTCCCCAGAGGGTGAGAGCAGGGCTCTGCATTTGTGCTGTACACTATGGCCCCCAGCACCCAGGACAGTACCTCGGACAGTGCAAGTGCTCAATAAAAATGTGTCCAACGAATGAATGAATGCTAAACCCAACATGTGGCTGTGACTACGGCACATGTGAACCAGAACCCGGGCTCCATCCCTTACTCACTCTGTGGCACGGGACCACATTATCAGTTCCCCGCAGTTCCGCTTACGTCACCACGAGATGAGATCGATAGCAGTACCCACCCCTTAGAGCTGAGTGACAATCACACCTACGCAGCCTGGGCACACAGCAGGCACTTTGTCAGTGCTGGCTGCTGTCCTTGCTCAGATCAGCAGCTGGCCCTGGCCACACTCGCATTCCTCCTCCAGGGAAATCCTGGCTTCAGAGTGCATGGGGAGGGGAGCCAGGCAGAGGGGGCTTTCCACCAGTTGAGGCGTTCATGGAAACGGTGCTCGTGGCTTAATGCTTCCTCACCCAGAAACTGAAACCAGGAGAGGGAAAGGAAAGAAAGCACAGACAAAGGAGAAGAACGCGCTACCCGTCCAGTTCCCCCTCCTCAGGTGCAATTCTTCTCATCAGAGGAAACTGCTTCCCCCTGGGGGATCAGAAACCTGTCGTGCCCATCCTGCTCGTGTGTCCACAACACAGTGTGCAGCATGAATGAGACCGCAGTGGGATACACGCCTGGAGGGCAGGGCCTGGCCTCGGCGTGCAGACTCACACAGGCCGAGCCCGTCAGGGCTGACTGCCCTCTGCGACCAGAGCTTTCACCTTTTCGCTAAAGCCCCCCCCTGCACTCAGAAATCTCAGCACCCTCTCTGCCCTCAGGCACCACTCATCGCTCTAAAAGCGGTGCAGGGGATTTGCTGGAGGGACCAACAGTTCACATACCGACAAGCTGTCCCAGCGGCTGAGGGGCAAAGCGAACCCTCTTTCTCTTAGCGTAACAGAGAAGTCTAGAGAAAAAGGGCTAAGATGACAGCTGTGAAAGTAGAAACAAGATGCTCTGACATTCTGGGAGTTTCCTGATGGGATCATTCTCTGTGGCCTGACCTCTGGGCGCAAGCCACTGCCTTGGAGATGTGGGGACCTAGAACCACACACCTCCTCCACACCCTGTATACGGCCCCTCGCTCTCAAACAGGTCACTGGTTTAAACACCTCTGGCTGTGTGCCCCACAGTCTCTCCCAACACACAACGCATCCTGTGCATGGCCTCCCGCTAACCAGGCGCTTGTAACCAGAGCTCCAGGTTTCTCTAGTGCCCTTGGTCCTCAGCTCCTATTTTAGTCTTTTCAAGTGTTAATCAGGTGAGGGAAAGGGAAATCAAAGAACCCAGACCTCTAGAGGAGCTCTTTGAAATTTGCTCAGTTAGAGAAAAAGCCCAGGCCTATCAGCCTATGTGGCTTCTCAGCAACCGGGGTCTGGGTGGCCACACAAGATGAACGCTCAGGTGCCCCATGCATGCTCTGCATAGCTTGAAAAGTGACTGGGGCCAAGGAGGCTCCACAGGGGGCCGAAGCCAGCAGCCTCTTCCCTGGACCCGGACAGCTTGTTCTGTCTTTCCTCATCCGACCCCCTGACAAAACCTCCTTCCTTGATCAAACTTGCATCAGCCTCTGACAAACCGTCTCCTGCACCCAGCTTCACCTTGAGTTTCCACGTCTGCCCTCGCACAGCCTGGTTTCACGAATCCTGCCAGAATCCTGCTGAGTCAGTGCAGGGAGAATCCCCCACTCCTCCCAGTAATACCACTCAGCTTCCTCATCTCCCACCTCTGAGGTCTAAGTCCTCGGCCCAACTTCAACAAGAATCCTACTGTTGGTTTAGCAAGAATCCCCCTAACCTTGATGTCCCTTCTTAGTAATTTTCCATCCACAGAGCCTCCCAACCTGCTCCCTGGCTGTAAATCACCACTTGTTCTTATTGTATTTGGAGTTGAGCCCAATCTCTCTCTCCTATTGCAATAGCCCTGATGCCTACTGCACGCACCCTGAATAAAATCTTCCTACCACAGACTTCTCTCCTTGACACCCCTTGTGTTTGGAGGACTCTTGGGCCCAAACCCGGCTGATGCACTGGGTGGAACCTGCACAGGCGTCTCACGCTGGGACTGCTCCCGCAGCGCCCAGAACATTCTGAGCCTCCAGCATCCCACCCCAAACCTTTCACCTGGTTTCAGCTTTCAGGCCCCAAGGGGTCCCAGGGAACCCTGGAAGAAATGCCTGCCCTAAGACACTGCCCTCTTCTCTCCTTACTCAGGTCTCTGAACATCTGAAAGGGCTCAGGTAAGTGATGGGGTACCAAGGGGAACAGAGACAGGCCAGGGGCGAAGAGCAATAAAACCACACACTAGAAGTTAAGCTCATGGAAAGGAAATGGTGCCTCCCCGGTCGGCGGTAACCAATGTTTATTCTGCAGTTCCTATGTGCCCAACGCTGTGCTACACACATGCTTACTGTTACCTCTGCGAATCCCCACAGTGGCCTATGAAGAGTTACCCCACTGTACTACGGAGGAAGCCTGAGGGGGCTAAGTGGCTTGGCCAAGAGCATCCAGCTAAGTCTGCATCACAGCGGGTCTAAGTCCACACAACAGGCTCCAAGTGCAGGGCTCTTTCCCATGCTTCCCTGGGTAAGTGAGACCCCCTTCTGGTCTACCTCAAGGTTCCAAACTCCTGCTTGTCCTTAGAGTCCAGCTCATACACCACTTCCTCCATGGCCTTCTCTGATTTCCACACCCGGAACTCTTTTTTTCTCCTCTGAATTCCACTTTCACACTGCACTTTCTCTTTGTAACTCTTTCAAGACACTCATCAGGCCCTCATTTGCTTTACAGTTGGTGTCTGTCTGACCTCCATGCACTGTGAGCCTCTCTAAGGACCCGGCCCAGGACTCTGCACACACACAGTGCCTCACCATGTCCAGTTTCTGCTTAGAAATGAATGGATGGATGAGTGAATGGATGGATACCTGAATGGCATTAAGTGTGTATGGACAGACATAAGATTATTGCAATATTAAGTGTAACAACATCCATCTTTATTAGGAGAGACGATGAAAATATTATGTAGATTTTTTTTCTTATGGTTAATGCTAAAAAAAAGAAAATAAGACAATGCAGGGGTGTTAATTGGAAAACCTTCCTCTTGGGAAACATAAAGCCAACTCATGATTCCAAACAGTACCTACAAATAAGGGATGTGGTCATAGATGGTATAAATGAGGACACAAATGGGTCACTCCAGATGTTTCTCATTGCCAGAGACTCAGTTTAAGGAGGTAAGGTAAGATTCTTTCTCTCTCTGCTCCCTGTCTTTCAACAAAGAGCTGTCCCAAATACAGAAGTCTGCTTCCCAAATTCCAGATATGAATTGGTCTTAATTCTCTATGCCTACAAGGACACCATCCTCTGGGTACACACTACCCCATGCCAATGGACAAATGTTCCTGAAATTCTATTGTCCTGTAACGGTGTTTCCTCCCCTTAAAAACAAACAAAAGGCCAGGCATGGTGGCACACGCCTGTAATCCCAGCACTCTGGAGGTTGAGGCAGGAGAACTGCAGGGTTACAAATCTGAGCCCAACCTTAGAACTCAGTGAGACCTTGTCTCAAAATAAAAAAGAGAAAGAGCTGGGGTGTAGCTCAATGCACAGGCCTGGAGAAAAAAGGAGGACAAAGAACAAGGACCAGACCCACAGTTCATCTCTTCTTTATGGCAATTCTCAAAGCACTTTATTGTTACTTCTTAAGGTATTTCTTAATTTCACCCTGCTCTTAAGTATAGCCACTGCCACTGAGCTCCTTACTAGGAGGGTACAGTGTACCTCATCCACCTCCAGGTCCCCCAGAGCCTAGCACAGAGGTAGGCATGTGGCCGATGCCACACCCAATCGCTGTGCTGTGTACCGAGTAACACCTGGAACATAAATCCGCTGCAGGGGATTTAATACCAACCACAACTAGGTCTGAATCTTGGCCATACTGTTTAGGTTCTTCAGCCTGGGGAAGTCTCCGGACTTTGTAAGCCTCCACCTCATCACTTATAAATATTGGTTTCATTCTTATATTACCAAAAATATATGTGGTAAATACAACACATAGCAGGTGTCCCATAAATGGGAGAATGGATGTCGCATAAGTGGGAAAAGCACTGAACTAAGGTCATAAAATCCCAAATTCCAAAGCCAGCTTCCCCATCGGGTGATTCTAGGTCAGCCACCTGGTCTCCCTGAAATTCCATTCACTCATGAGTACAGGAGTTTTGTGACAATCAAGGCAAACAACAGTGCATATGACACCTAATGAAGTGTCCCCACTGCAAATGCCCATTACAAATGTCCCTTCTAAATGTTAGCTTTTCCTGCTAGCCACAGCCACCCACCAGCCCTCACAAAGAAAGAGACTCAACTGTCCCACACTGGTCCTCCTTCTCCCTTGACTCTTGCTCAGCTATGGCTCCTGGGATTCCAAAAGTGAGAAGAGAAATTAATGTTGCATCAGTGAGTCATGATTTATAGCTCCGTTCCTGAGCTGCTTCTGAAGTAGTGAACTCCCTGACACGGAGATAGTTAAGAGGAGTAAAACCTTCGGTGAAATGGGCTGTTGCAGAGACAGGATTCATACATACTGAGTGGGGACACGTGAGTCACCATTAAGCCATCTTCCTACTCTGAAAGTCTGTGATTCAGTTATGCACAGCCCATGAGAGTGCAGACAGAGCCTGTGACTCAAGAAGCACTGACAGCGCTCCCTTCGCTTTCACAGCTGTCAATGGGGACACCTGGCTGCCCTGTCACACATGCTAAGACAGAAGCCATGGCTGAAGGACACTGTATGGTTGGCTACTAGCGCCCTCACATCCGTCACAGATATAAGGCTGTACTTCACCTGTTGTTGAGGAATACATCATGAGATAATATCACCTCAAAACAGCTTTGAAAATAGGAAAGCCTTCAATAAATAAATGGCATGAGACTACAGAGGGAAAATTAGCCTCAAAAACATGTAACATTCTACTCAAAGTATTTATCACTGTTATATTTCAAATTTTTAAAAATTATTATACTACTTCAAATATAAATATTGAAGTAACTTATATCCATAAAAGTATCTAATATTGATAGAAATAAACTGATAAACTCTCCGAACAGTGTTTTCAAACTGGTCTGGTTTGAAGAGCAACCCTGGAAAAGGCTATGGCTACACCGAGATCCTGGAACAGCATCCAGGTCAGAATCGGCAAACCCAGGGGTGCGACCCTTCCTCTGGCTCTGTCCTCTCTAAGCAGCCTCCTCTGGAGGCTTTGGACTGGAAGTCTCAGAAACTCCCTTTATGGCCCAGCTTGAACAGATTTTGGTCTCGTCCACAGGCATTTCCATGTTCTTGCCCTGGGAGGCTATACCAGGGCCTTTCTGGGGACTCTACTCTCCCGGCCAGTGCTAAAAACTCACAACTTCAGATCCCAACTCTGCAGAGAAATGACCCATCGTCTCGCTGTCACTGCCTGGACCACTGCCAAGGACAGAAGCCCCTTGGGACCGGGCCACCTACCTCCCAGCACCTCACAGTCGCTGTCCATGCTGTCGTGCACACCCGCAAAGATGTTGGCCAGGGTGGACTTGCCCACCCCTTGCTCCCCTATGAGCACCACTCGGTAGTAAGTGTTCCCCGACTCGGAGGAGATGACGGAGTCTGTGGAGTCCGAGGACCAGCTCCGGCGGCAGTGGTCCTCGGGTGTGGCCGAGTGGCGGTTGTGGGGGTTGTACGGGTGAGGCTCTTTCTGGACCATCAGATGCCTGCCATCGGCTGGGATGCTCCAGCGCTGCTGCTGCGGGTGCATGCCCACAGGGCCCTGGCGCATGGTAACGTTATTCAGAGTCATTGTGGGGTCCTAGGGAGCAAAGCAACCAAGATGCCAGCATTAGTAAACATGAGAGAGACTCAAACACATGGTCTGCCATCCTTCTTAGCATCTATCTTATTAGATGCATCAGAACCAAGGCAGCAATCAAAGCCCCCAAACCCCAACAAGCTAGGCTTTCAACTGGACACACACACACACACACACACACACACACACACACAATTAGTAACCACTTCATCTGGCAAACTATCATTCGCATAGAGAAAAGATACCGTTAACATCTCCCACTGCCCATAAGCTGGCTCCATCCTCAAGGAAGCCTTGGGCTCCCCACTCGGAGCTGGCACGGGGGCAGCTGGAAGGAACCCAGAGAGAGCTGGAAGAGCAACAAGTCAGCGCCGCTGGGACCGGCTGGCCAGGTTAGCTGCTCTTGTCTAAACATGGCTCTTACTTGGGCCAGCGTCCTGCAGGCTTTTGTGCCTCAGTGGGAAACACGTGGCAATGACATCACTGCCCCCGGCCGGACTGGACAGGACTTAAGACAACTTCCATGTTTAGTAAAGTCGTCCTGATGCTCTTCGGCTGCCCAAAGAGACCATTACGTGAGGACTGGGGCCATCTCGGAGGCGGGTTTATGCCTCGGCTCGGCCTCCTGCGCACAGGTACTACGCTGCAAACCCAGCCGCACGCCTAGTCATGCCGGCAGGAAAAGGACCTGCTCCCCTCAGACCCACCAGGTTGCAGACAAAGCCTCCACTCCCAGCACACCACATCCACTCAGAGATCCTTTAAATGCAACTCAGAGCTCCGCTTCTTGGAGCAAACCAAAAGGCCAAAGACTCTTGAAGATGACACTCAACAGCTTGATTCAACTTTCGCCCCGCAAGGCCGCCTCGCCGGGCACCGAGGTCTGAGCTCGCGGACTGCTCGGCACGAAGAAGCGCCGCCGCTCGCCCTCGAATCAGCCAGAGCC